ATTTAACGAATTCTTTTTATTTTAATCTTTTAATTCTTTTTAATCACTCAGCTGGCTAAACAATTGTTCCTAGAATTTCTCGATCGTTTATGTCACGTGCAAATACATAAAACGATTTGCTCTCACTAAAAAAGCAATGTGTTACAAGGCATGCAAGAAGGAAAACTCTACAGATAAACAAGTACTTAAAGAAAAAAAATTAAAGAAATAGTTAGAAAAAGTACAAAAAAAAAGAACCTCATAGCTTACACAGAGAGAATTAAATAGTAAAAATTACTATATTCAAAATTATTTTCAAGGATTCTAATTAGTCATAATTTTTACCCTTTTGTACTCTACGATGTTATATAGCAAAAATATAGTAATTATTGCTAGCACATGTCCCTAGCACATTTTACCATTTTACCGAAAAGTTTATCATGGTAACCGTTCCCATGTACCAACCTGTTACAAGTTTTTGAATGAATTTTCCGGACTAGAGAGGCAAGATGATGTCAGGAATGAAAAACTGTTAGGCCAAAAAAATCTGACCGTCACTGACGGTCATTTTTTTCTCGTACAATATTCTGTCATGTTTTATTAAGTCTTGTCGTGTGATTACTCATCAGTTAATTTTGTCAGTAAGAAGCTGATTCAATAGAACAAGCGATTTTTTCATAACATTTTATCATCAATAAGTAACTTTTTCCATAACATTTTATCATCAATAGCGAACTTTTTCCATAAAGTTTTAGATGACGATTACCTGATAGGCCACGAATTTTTCCAGCCTCACTAGTCCGGACTACGTTCTATAAACTTTTGTCATATTGTAGTTCGAGCGAAATTTCAAGACATTTTGTCATTTTTCAATTCCATTCCCTTTTCCTGAATTTTGAAAATTGTCTCATTATATGAAATTTGAAATTTTCCTCTCTCTTTTTACTATTAAATTTTCTCTGTACAGAAGGAGCTTATGCAGAAAGTCATGCACTCTGAATATCATCCATGATGTCTATGTTTACTCCTTTCATTATTGAAAACGAAATGATTTTTGAAATGGCGGTCCATGCACCACCGACGAATATCAAGTTATTTTTAATGATCATGCAATTACAACAGGTATCTACGAAACGAAAAGATGAGACGTGTGGGGTTGGGTGGGGATATATGAAGGAAGTGCATAGTAATTTAGGAGTGATATTTAGGATGAGAGGAGCATGATGATGTAAGGATGTGAAGGTGAATCGACTCCGCGTATGACGACGAGGTAGAGAAGCGCAAAGACCGGGCGAAAGCCTAATGAATAATTCTTCAACAAACGTAATAGAAGTTCATCGGGAAAATCGCAATTATCAAACAAGTATACAATAAGCAGCGGCACAATAAACTAATTGACCAATCGTATCTATCAAAATGTAATGGAATTTGATGAGTGCAGTCTTCACCACGAAGAAAAAGTGGTATTGCACAATGATAAAATTATCAATAAATGAACGATACACAGAAGCAAAAAGGAGTAAATGGATTTGCCAATGATTAGTAATCACATGAATTGGCGCAGCTATGTGAACAGATAAGCTGAACTGGATCATGAGTACGTAGGGATACGTTCAACGTTCAACGTTCAATCATTGGGCGCGCGGACGAAGCCAGGGGGAATTATTCACAGCGTGCACCAGACCCTCATCTGAGAAAATATGGAATTGAGAAAAAAATAATAACCAACAATCAGTTCTGGCCTTGATTAAAATAATGAAGAGCATTTTTCGAACAAAATGACTGATGATTGACAAATTATGAACGAGCATGAATACATTAGGATGGAGGACTAATGCAACTCATCAGCGAAAGGGATCACCATGAAAATTAAAGGAAAGATCAGCGTTATGTTGCAATTTCAGGCAAGTTTCGAGCTTGTCTTTTTCATCAGATTAAATACATGTAAATACTGCAATTAAAAGTCGAATGAGTAACGCAAATATATTATCATTTTCAGCTCCAATGAGTCCATAAAGGCTGTCGGCTGAGATGCAGATGGAAAGCGTTCGATTCAATACACTGTGAGGAGAACGTAGTTTTCACAGAAAATGTTTTTTTTTTTTGTCGAATCTATGATGGAAATAATGTTTTTCTTAGTCTGCAAACAGGATAATGTTTGAGAAAAATTATAAATAAATTCTACCTATGAGTGATTATTTCTTCTTTTCGGTGGGTGACTAACGGTTATCGGGGCTAAATTTCTGTCAAGCACATTTCTCTTGATCATCATTTCTTCCCCGAGATTCCTCCAGTGAAATTAATAAAATAGAGAGAACAAATGATTTGCGTAAGTCTTATCAAAAGTCTGTCCAAAAATTGAATTTAAAAAAACACTTCTTTACTCTCAAACAATTGTATGTTTCAAGTTTTAATTACTGCCTATGCGCGTGATTTCATCAATTTTTTTCATGTGCTTGGAGAAATACTCGATTTGTCTGTTTAATTACCTTGCTAATATCTTGGCCTTTTATTTCCGTTGTTATTCGACTCAATAATTATCAAATAGATTATATATTACTGATCAGAATATTATTCTACAGATTATTTTTCAACTTTCCCCTAAAATGTGGGAATCCCAGAAGAAAAAAAAAATATAATGGTTGAAAAAATTACAGAAAAAATTGGGACGAGAAAAATTTTGGAGGAGAAATTTTGGAAGAGAACTGTTATTGAAAGAAATTCAATCCGGCTATACGGTGGCGAACGAGTTTGTATGGTAATTTAATTAATTTTAGTTATAATTATAGTTTTTATTTAGTTTTAATTATGAGTGAAACAGGCACACGAGACGATTAACAGTGGTGATTATTCTCATATGGAGTGCGAAAAAATTATGAAATTTAGGCAGATTTTTAGACATTAACGCAAATCTAAGACACTTTGTGTGATCCTCTGGAACCCCCTACCAAATAGTAAGATGTAATTGTGTTTTACCAACTCATAATTTGACACACGTCTTCTTTTCATTCATATCTCACAATGTATAACAATGGAATTTTTTAAAAATATTGTTCATGATCATTAAACCCTCTAATGTGCATTGAAATACCCTTTCCTGTTAATATTTATCATAAATGTATATTTTGTCATCGAAATCGTCACGCATCTTGGATTTCTACGGAATGATGAATCAATAATGACTTTCTTTCAATATTGTCCAAGTCTCCCATCGGTTCTCAGCGTGTGAAATATGTGGCAGGGGCTACTCACTCCCAAAATCATGGCAAATCATTGAATCATTGAAATCATTTAAATTCATTGAAGTCTTCAAAGTCCCCGTAACCACCCGATTTCCACTGTTTGAAGTCATTTTTTTAAGTCGAGTCTTAAAGCCGCTTGGAAGTCATCCGAAATTAATAAAACGTATCGAAGCGAATGGAAAGCCCTAGTTGCATACTGCCCATTGAGATTGCAAAGTGCTATTATGCCCACTTGTCACTCACATGGAAATAATATATATCCAGAAAAATGTCGCATACATTTCCACAAAAAAAACTATATCTCAGTCATAATTTTTATTGGTTTTTCCAAAAATTCACTATTTATTTGGTTCGACCCATCTCGATATAGACATTAAACAATACAATAAAAAATTATTTTTCCTCCCTTGAAAGTGAGATTGACGATTTCACCCTCCATAAGAGCATTGTTGACGAGGTGAATGATTTTTTTCTTTAAATATAGTTCGCACTTTGGATCATTTGTAAGATATTTTATCAAATATAAAATTAAAAAATGATCTTGTTCGATGCTTTGTAAATCTGAAAATTTCGAAAATTAGAGCCGACTCGTTGTGCCCCATTTCTTCTCAATTCTTGAATTTTGTTTATTATGATTTTTGTGACTTCATTGCATATGAAACATATATTCACTTGGAATCCATGAAATTATTCG